TTTTTTTTTTTTTTTTGCGGTACGCGGGCCTCTCACTGTTGTGGCCTCTCCCTTGCGGAGCACAGGCTCCGGACGCGCAGGCTCAGCGGCCATGGCTCACGGGCCCAGCCGCTCCGCGGCATGTGGGATCTTCCCCGACTGGGGCACGAACCCGTGTCCCCTGTATCGGCAGGCAGACTCTCAACCACTGCGCCACCAGGGAAGCCCCTGAGCTATATTTTTAAGCTGCAAAATCTAGATCAATATTATATGAATAAAGAACTGATAAACATTCCTTTCACTTTGATAGTTCCAGATTTCCCATGCAATGGCCAATTAGTGTTAGAAAAAATAAATTTGACATAAATGAGTAAAAAATTGTTAGAGATACAGCCCTGAAGTATACAGGTAAAATGACAATTTCTAGGATTTGCTTTAAAAACCTTTGGTGGGGGGAGGGATAAAGCAAATGTGGTAAAATCTTTACAGCTGCTGAGTTCAGGTGATGGGTATACAGAAGACCGTTGCAGTATTCTACTTTTGTGTCTATCTTTAATATTTCATAGTAAAAGAGAAACTAATAGAACCCAAATATTTCTGATTCCAAATCCTGTGGCATACATCTATATGTTGTAAAGTTTCCTCCAAGTGATGCTCACCCCACTTTATGAAGTTACATCTCTTAAAATACACACGGCACAAATATTTCTTCCTAGAGGTCATTTCTCACAGCCCACATACACTGTTTGATGGGAGAATAAACTCGAATTGTATTAGCATCCCCATTGGTTTTGTATTAGCATTCCCGAATTACACTACAAGAGTCAGTCCCGGTAACAGAGCATCCGACACTCAAGAAAACTACTTTCAGGAAACCAAAAGACCCTTGTTAAAATGCAAAGTAAGTGGTAGAAGTTCATCTTTGCGCAAAACAGCCTAAGAATATCACACAATAAAAAACATGGAGGGGTGGGGTGAGAATTAGGCCAGAAATACCCAAGACACAGAAGTGGGTTATGGAGAGGTGTAAGGGTGTTAAGGGGCACTAGAGGGGCTGGAGCTCGGTTAGGGCGGGTCAGGAGTGGGTCAGCAAGGAAACGTTTAGTGCAGCGGAGACTATAAAGAATGTGGCCGGTGTTGGGGACGGGTTGGACATGGGCTGGACACGTGCGCCACGGGAAAGCAAGGGGATGCAGGGATGTGGGGTTTGAGGGAATAAAGTGGGTGCAGCAGGCTGTGGAGGGAGTCGTGGTACGGAGAACAGCAAACAGAAGTGGCGAGGGGGGAGGAGAGGGCAGTGGGAAGTGGTGGTGAGATGAGACGGCCACAGAGAGCTAGGGACGACAGCGTCCCGGGAGAAGGGCAGGAGCGGCGAGCACAGAAGGCGGGGAGTGGGAAGAGGCGCGGAAAGCGGCGAGGGGAGGGCCCCCGGGGGTTGGGGACCGAGGTCCAGGGGCCGCGTGGGCGGGAGACGGCCAGGGTCTTGGGCTGCGCCGGTACTGCTGGGGCTGGGGGAGGGTCTCGGAGCAGGCCCGGGGCGACAGACTCCAGCTACCTTGAGGGCTTCTAGCCGGTAGCGCTGGGTGGAGCTGGGGTCCATCATGATCGTCACCGCTTTCACCAGCTGCTCGCACAGCGCGTTCACTTGATCCATCGACATGACTAGTGCCACGCGCCGCAAGCGCGCACAACGGACGTCCCGGAAGCACGAGGCACGGATCGCTCCGTTGGCGGGACCACACGCTGGTACCCGGCCGCGGCGGGCTTAAGGGGGACGGTGGTGAGCGGGAGGAGGAGCGCGAGCCGCAGAAGACCCAGCCGGGAAAAAGCCAGCGCTGCGCACGCGCCCGACCCTCCAGTACGCATGCGCCCGCGGAAGTGGCGACTTCCTTTTGACTGTGCTCCTTGGTGGGCGGAGCGAGAGACTTAGGGGCCACGGTGCGCAGGCGCGTCAACGGCCCTCGGCGGCGCGCGCGGCGAATAACTGTCGGGAAGGCTGTGAGCAGATCTCGGTGGCTAAGGCTGGACCCGCCCGGCTGTGCCGGCTGCTGCCAGGGCGAGGATCGTCAGCGCGCTTAGGTCCTCTTCTCTGTCGTTGCCGGGAATAAATCTCTCTCGAAACCGACTGATCCGTTCCCGGAAAGGGGACGGATATTCAAGACCACTTCATCGTCCTTCCAGTGGACACCGAGTCCAGCATCGGTGGCGTCCGCTGGTGGCGGTTTTGCCAAGTGTTGTCACATTGGTAAGAGAATTTAGAACAGTTCTGTATCTCTGTTTTTAGACTTTTCATGTTGCCTTGGCTATTGGTTGTATAATATAGCAGTGACTGGGGACAACATTGGGCCGAAATTACATGAAATAGAAATACTTGCTCACAGAGAGAAAAGGCCCTGGTATTGCCTCTTAAGAGGATTTTTCTTGTGGAAAGAAAATGGTAGCTCTTAAACCTCCCTCTTCACCTGTACGTATTTTCCTTGGGTGTGTTACCACCTGATTGGCACCAAACTTGTTTTTAAAGATTGGGGTAAATCGAGATCGTTAATGATGAATAATTGCAAATACTGAAGGTTTGTACAGTTTTGATCATTTGAAGTGCTACATATATCATATATATGAAATATATATGTATATCATATATGTATATAATATTTATATGACTTCAAAATAGTGTAATCCTTATTCCCAAAGGAGGGTTTTGGCAGAGAGTATGTTTCATTTTTCATCTTTAAAAAACTCTTGCTTTCTCCAGCAAAATACATAAACTGAAAACTAAAACAGTTAAAATCTGAATATCCGTTTTGGTGTTGTATATTTAGGAAATGTTTGCTCTACTTAAATCACTGCTCCCTGTTCATACTCCACTTCTAGTGTTTGCATCTAATGTACTTACCTGGGTGTGTGTGTGTGACAATGCATTTACTATTTTTAATTTGGCGTTATCTGTTCCAGGACTGTACAAAAGCCACTTCAAGGTAAAGTGATTTCTGGCATGTTATGGTTTTAACTTATAAATGTTTAAAGTATTACGTTCTGCCTGTTTTAGGTGAGTGGAATTTGTAAGGAATTAATGCCTTGAATACTCTGATTTTTTGAATTCATCATTTTCTTTTCCCTAATCTTCCAGCTTTGTAGTTGCATGACACTTTTTTCAAGGTGAATGTTAATTTTTGATACTTTTTTAAAAAAAGAATACAGTTGGGCTTCCCTGGTGGCTCAGTGGTTGAGAGTCCGCCTGCTGATGCAGGGGACACGGGTTCGTGCCCCGGTCCGGGAAGATCCCACATGCCGCGGAGCGGCTGGGCCCGTGAGTCATGGCCGCTGAGCCTGCTTGTCTGGAGCCTGTGCTCCGCAACGGGAGAGGCCACAGCGGTGAGAGGCCCGCGTACCAAAAAAAAAAAAAAAAGAATACAGTTGAGTGCTTACTCAACTGTATAACCTGTGTTCTCTCATATTTAAATCATGAATTACTGTGTTTCCACAAATATCTTATTTACTTTAAGTCAGTGGTTTTCAATCTCTGCTTTTAAAAATCATGAGAGAGGGCTTCCCTGGTGGCATAGTGGTTGAGAGTGCGCCTGCCGATGCAGGGGACACAAGTTCGTGCCCCGGTCCGGGAAGATCCCACATGCCGCGGAGCGGCTGGGCCCGTGAGCCATGGCCGCTGAGCCTGCGCATCCGGATCCTGTGCTCGGCAACGGGAGAGGCCACAACAGTGAGAGGCCCGCGTACCACGCACACACACACACACACACACACACACACACGAATTCTTTCTTTAATAATAAACCAAAGATTATTGTCTTCCTTTTTCTCTTTTTCTTTAAATGAAGCCATTCTGCACCCAACTTCTAATCCCTGATGCCTTCTTTCAAAATTAAATAAATAAATAAAAATAAAAATCATGAGAGAGAGAGAGCTTATTAGAGAGAGCTTTTAGAAATCATGATGGCCAGGTCACACCCATACCAATTAAGTTACATGTCTGGTGGTAGAAGCCAGAAATCAGTAGTATTAAAGGTTCCTAGGTGATTCTAATCTGTAGCAAAGTTTGCAGAGCCACTGCTTTAGTTTACTGAATCCTTTTAGATTTCTAACAATGTTAAATGAAAACGTTAGTCTGTATTCACTGTGTATAAGGTTTGTTCTTTCAGTCTAGCATCCATACCTTTATATATGTCTGTCTACAAATAGTATGTAGTATTGTTTTCTTTTTGTCTTCAAAAATTTACATGAATTGGTAGAAAATCACCTTTAGAACATCACAAATTGTGACAGGCCAGATCCACTGATGGGTGCTTAGTGGTTGAAAGTTTGAGGAGAAACAGGGTATTTGCATAGTCTCAAAGTATCTCTCCTAAGAAAGGAAAAAATAGTAACTTTACAGTGAGAAACCTAGCAAACACTATCTCAACTAAATGATATGCTTAACATCACCAGTATTAACACACAGCGACATCATGTACCTCCCAACATGATACACTGAGAAAAGCAGAACCCTTCCATAATATTCTTGCTAAAAATGCATAACCTCAGTCTAATCAAGAGAAAACATCAGACAAACCTAGACTGAGAGACATTCTCAAAGCAACTGAGTAGTTCCCTTCAGAAGTGTCAAGGTCATGAAAAACATGAAGTGTCACAGATTGGAGAAGACTAAGGAGACGTGATGACTAAGACTGGATCCTAAGCTGGATCCTGGAACCAAAAATGAACATTAGTGGAATAACTGGTAAAATTCAAGTAAAGTTTGTAGTGTGAATATTATACTAATGTTCATTCTTTAGTTTTGATAATTGTGCTGTATAAAATGTTAGCTTTAGGGGAAACTGGGTATAGGAGAACCCTACTATATTTGCAACTTTTCTGTAAGTGTAAAAGTATTTCAAAATAAAAAGTTTTAAAAATTCACATGAATGCTTTGATGTTATATATCATTTTCTGCTTCTCTTTTCCCTGAACTTATATTTGAGATTTGTCTGTCAACTAGATTAACTGTTGACTTTATCCCTCCATTGACGTGCATTGTGGTTTTTTTTTTTTTTTGCGGTATGTGGGCCTCTCACTGTTGTGGCCTCTCCCGTTGCGGAGCACAGGCTCCGGATGCACAGGCTCAGCGGCCATGACTCACGGGCCCAGCCGCTCCGCGGCATGTGGGATCTTCCCGGACCGGGGCACGAACCCGTGTCCCCTGCATCAGCAGGCGGACTCTCAACCACTGCGCCACCAGGGAAGCCTGCATTGTGGTTTTGATTTGCATTTCCCTATGACTAATGATGTTGAGCCATTTTCATGTGACTGTTGACTATTTGTATATCTTCTTTTGTGAAGTGTTCAATTCTTTGGGGGGATGGGTATTCTTTAAAGCTTTCAATATTTATTACCTTTCTAAAGTTGTATCAGTTTATTATTTTCCTGCCAGCAGTATATGAAAATGCCTGTTTCATTATTGTTAGTTTCCATGTTCCCATGCTTATGGTAATTCAACAATTGAAGAATGGAAGTATAATTTTCTTTGGCACTTTTTATTCAATATCCTTTCTAACTGTCCATAAAATATTGTCTTACAGAAAAATGGCTAATGGACAAGACCGGGTAATTACTCTAGTGGACATGGACTGTTTTTTTGTTCAAGTGGAACAGCGGCAAAATCCTCATTTGAGGAATAAACCTTGTGCAGTTGCACAGTACAAATCATGGAAGGGTGGTGGGTATGTATCATAGTTATTGTTGTAACTCTCAACTACTGTTTTAATCTATAAGAATACATGGCAAAAAAAAAAAAGAATACGTGGCACTATGCTAGGTCCTGTTTTGGGGGATTCTGAACTGCTATGTTTGAGAATGAATAGTAGCATCAGTGACCAAAAAGTTTATACTATTATGTTTATAACCTATTCATCATGTTAAATTTTAATTATTTTTGCTTGTGATCATGTAATATTTTTCTGTTCCCCTTTTTTTCCTAACCTTAGAATCATTTCAGTAAGTTATGAAGCTCGTGCATTTGGGGTCACTAGATACATGTGGGCAGAAGATGCTAAGAAGTTATGTCCAGATCTTCTACTGGCACAAGTTCGTGAGTCCCATGGAAAAGCTAACCTCACCAAGTAAGAAGAAAAGCTTGTTTAAGGGGAATGGAAGAGTTGGAAGCATTTCATGAGGCTAGGAACTCATGTTTCTAATTCGTTTTATGTAAATAACATCTGAAAAAGTTCCCTTTAGTCAGCTAAATTTTCAGTGTGGAATGAAATCAGATTTTAATATTGCGTTTTAGGAACAGTTCGGAATCATTATTACCTATAATAATTGCCACCCTTAATACCCTTTCAGTTCCTTAATTATTTAACAATTGGTTGTTATAATTAAAACTTAATTCCACTTCCCATGTTCTCAGGCCAAAAGTCTGAAGTGTTTGAAGTAATTAAATTGACTGTGAAACTAATAAGAGTTTTTCCAGAGAAGGCTGAGTCAAACTCACATTCTAGTGCAATATCTAGAATTATTTGCCAGAATTGAACAGTCCCAAAGAAGCTTAATTTTTCTGTTTTTGAACTGAGCTATCTCTGCCCAGATTTTAGAAAGTTAGCCTTGGAATGGGAGGCATTAGTATAGGCATAGCCAAGTTAGAGGTAGATACAAGCCCCAGTCATTATAATAATCCTAATAGCTAGTGTATAGTGAACATATGTCATATGCCAGGCACTGTGTTAAATTCTTCATTGGCAGTGTCTCTTAAATCTCACATTGTTATAAGGAAGGTTCTAGTATTATCCCCCCCACTCCCCCCACACACAAATGAGGGACCAATTTAGAGAGGTTAAATAATTTAAGTTCGCACAGTTAGG